TCTTGTTCTTGCTTAGGCTGGTCTTGAACTCCTGACCTGAAACAGTCTATCTGCCTTGATCTCCCAGAGTACTGAGATTACAGGCCTGAGCCATGGTGCTTGGCCTAGAACATGCTTGTTTTTCTTGAGGTGTTTGTTTTCTTGTGCTAGATCAACCTAATCTTTATTTAATGTTAGTATTCTTGGTGACAAGGGAGATAATATACATGGCTTCAGTAAAGTTGGCAACTAAGTATCACAAATGTTTAATTCTTTTGCTAGGGAACCAGCAAACCTGAGCATGTGTTTCTTAGATAGCTAAAATGGTATAACAAAATTAGGGATGGGGGGGAGCACTGTAGCAGACACCAGTGAGGGACCTTAGATTTTATGTAAAGGTCTGTATACCCATTTGATAATTTACATATTCAGTGAATGGATGGAGTTGAGAAAAGGAGCTTAAAATGCCCCGTGCTTTCTGATTGGACCAATTTGCTGCAGAGCATTTTCATTGGGAATGAAATATGAGGCTCAGCTGGCACACCAAGAACCACATGCCTCTCCAAGAAGGGGAAAGGTGTTCTTGCCTGAGAAAGTCCCTGCTAATGTGTCTTCCATCTGCAAAGTCTTTGCAAACCTTCCTGGGACTAGCCCAGTTCAACTGTACTGGGGCACTATTCCGAGAGCAGACTGTGCATAGCTTTGCAGGGAAGGGAGGGAACAGCTGTCCCCTGGGTGCACGTTGTACAGGACACTAAAGTCTTTGTGAGAATCTTCCTGAAGAAACGATGCTTTACATAAAACCTAAGGTCCCTCAGTGGTGTCTGCCACAGTGCTTCCCCCAACCCCAGTTTTGTTTATGCCCTTTTAGCTATCTAAGAAGTACATATTCCATACTCTGGTTAGCTAGCAAAAGAGCTGAGCATTTATGATATTTAGTCAGATAAGGTCTAATGACCAAATATTCGCAGCCATTCACATTCAAGAAGTATCTGTTAACTGCTACAAATTCAGCAAGGGTTTGTTTCCTTTTTGTTTGGGGTGGTTGCTGGTGCCTGCCCTAGGAGGGGAGGCTCACAGTTAGCTTGGGGGTCCTGTGTATAACAGATGGAAGTAGTGCAGAGAGGTGGAAGCCCCCCACCAAGGGAGGGATGGGTGGTTGCTGAGGGAGCCCAGAGAATGTAGTTAGTGCTGTTGGATGGATGATCAGGAGTTTGAGTCAGGACAAGGAGAGGAAAGAGCAGGAACAGGGACCCAGAGGCATATCACCACTCAGGTTACAGGTATTTTCATATTTGTGCTTGGATAAGATAGGAGAATGGATGGTATTTATAAACTTGAATCTGTGAGCTATTGTTGGAAATTGAGCAAATGGGGGCCCATGGTGGGTTTTAAGTTGTCGATAGAATCCTTTGGGTTTGGATTCCAGATAGATCACTGGTACCTAGAGCTCAAGGCTCAGATAAGGTAAAAACAGGGAAGTGAGGAGGCCCCCACCCAGCAATGCTGGCCTTGGCCTTAAGTGGGCTGCTGCAGCTGTAGGGCTGCACATGGGAAGAGAGGGACCAGAGACTTCTGGTGGAAAAAACCAGTCACATAAACATGAATGGATGAAGGAGAGGGACTGTCAGGGCTGGCATGGTGGCTGGATCTCTTTATAGCTTTGCCCCCCAGTCTTTCCTTGTTAGTCATTAGAGTGGGTTCCAGATTCTCTCATCCATATGTTTAAGCTCAGCTTTCTCTGAGTTCAGCTAATGAGGGCTGTCCTGGGGGAGCTACTACAATTTATGTTTTACAATTTTGTTATTAGGTGTGTTCCACCAGCTGGACGTTTGCTCACTGGTCCCACGAGCTGATGGTCCCACGGGGGCCAGTATAGACTTCCAGGTTGAGACAGTGATGGTAGAGGTTGTGCTGACAATATGATGCCTAGCTGATGCCTGGCTTTATCTCATTTAGTCACTCTGCTGACTCGGTGAAGTAGGTGTTAGTCATTACTCTGTTTTTCAGGGAAGGAAACTGAAATACCTAAC